TCGCTGCTGCGAAACCCCTTCAAGACGCCATTGTTTTCTGCCAGAGCTTCAAAAAGAAAACCCACAAGAAATCTTCTTCCGGCGGCGAGGATCACAGCGGGGATCTTCGCATTCAAGTAGTTCTTGAGAAATCCCTGGAGCTACATCAGAAATCCCGCGTCGCCGGTGATGATTTCGATCCTTGCCAGGACGTCCTGCGAGGTGACGCGTCGGATTCTTTGCAGTTTTCGTTCACTCCGCGGTCGCCGTGATATTATCCAGTCGGATCTGTGAGTGAGAGTATTGGTCTACCGAATTGGTTTCGCGTGGACTGTTTCAACAACATATTGGCTACCATGGTTACCTTTTTTAATTTTCGTGCCGGAGCTACATCTAAAGACCTCACTTTGAAGGAGAAAGAGCTTATTACCTTAGATGCAGGTCTTATACATCGGCCTACGGCCTTTCCGCTGCTTCATCTGTTGCACCCACAATGCACCGAATTTCTCTGAATTTTGTCAGACTGCACGTGCCTGAGCTTCCTTGGATGCCCCCAGCTGTCAGTCTCCCGCACAGCCCCGCTGCTGCTTGGTGAGTGGGCCGTCCGACTTGCGGCGCGTCTTGTAGCTAATTAGCCTTGTTCGCAGCCCCGGACAATTGCTTTCGCCGCCTGCGCTCTTCGCTCGCGGCCGCGATCAAAAACTGTTGCGCTGAGGGTGCACATATGTTTTGCCAATCGCTTCCTGCGGCTGTCCTTTCCAGGGCGCGCAGTTCTTCTGAGCGGTGCGAAGCCGCTGGGTTTTCGAGGGGCATGGACTATCAAATCGACGGGGAAAGTATCCCAGGATAAATTGCGATCAATTTCGCGCGCGTGAGCCCGACCACGCGGGGGGCAGATTTATCGCGTTAACGAAAGATCGAGAACATAATCTCCTGTGACCGTAGCTGCGCATCAACATTACAGAGATCACCTTTCAAGCGGTGATTCTCTTCGACGTGCGACAGAGTTTTTCCTCAACGCCGTGCTCGTCCGGTCCACTTTATCTGTTTCACTCCGCAATGCGTTGTTCGAGAGATCTTTCCCGTTTCTGAGACTTTCTGATGACCGGCGGGGTAGCATTGCGAACCTCGTTGATCTCGACAGTTTCATTTTGCAGATCCCATGCGCGGTTATAAAGGAGGAGCTGTGCGACGCGGGGCTATGGGAGCTTTATATTAGCCTGGATCGAGCAGCGAGCTTGTGCGAAGACTTTATGCGAGTTGTTCTGGAGGATTTCCAAGTCGAAGCCCTGCATGACAGGGTTCGGAAGCAACTGAAAGGATTCGGGGGGCCCGGCTTCCGACCCAAGGAAGTTTTATCCGATGTATTTGATAATTGTGATCTTTTCATTGACCGTGATGCCGATCGAGAAAGTGCGAAACAGCAATATCACAAATTGGTTGTCATCGGCGCAGGGCCTTGTCGGACGGCCAATTGGTTGTTCACAAGCCTTTTGATTTCATGGAAGATGAGCCTGCAGATGTGAAGGACCCGACTTGCGGTATGCCGTTAGCCGCGCGCAAATTGATCACAGCGATGCATACAGTCAGAGATCAGCCCTGGATATTATATATGAGTTCTGTGAGTTCAACAAGTCATTAAAAGCAATATACACCAAGAAAGGCTATCTTTACGTTCCTACTATTTATGCAGATGTCGTTGACACTGGCGCTTTAATGGACATTCATGGATCACTGGAAGCCTTCTCAATGTTTAGCGCTGTATATGTAAAGACGCGCTCGTTGTTGAAAACGCAGCCTAGGAATAGGAAGTAGATATGTGGTTGTATCGTTGCCATATGATCATTTCAACCTTTGCGACGTATCTTTAGGGCTCCATCTTGGCGCGGAAATCCATGCGGACCCTGATTATGATTGAGCAATTTGCGGTGGCATCCCGCCTTCTGTTTATGATTCTGAGTCTGATTCATGAAAAATATCCAGCTGTCTGCGGCAAGTCCCGCCACCGCGCCCGCCCAGCTGTCTCGGTGGTTTCTGCGCGAGGGCTCACGGATACCCTAACTTGTGCTGCGTTGTGTATCTCCAGGCTTGATGATGTTGGCGATGATGATGGCGATGGCGACGGTGGTGGCGTGGATGAGGAGGCAGAGGGATGGGGAGGAGGACGAGGGGGAGAAGGAGGAGGAGGAGGAGGAGGAGGAGTACGACGAGAACAGAGAGAGCCGTCACATGTAACACCTTTTCGTCTTGGGCGGTCTTGGGCCTCTTGGGGGTCCTTTGGGGCGCCTTGGGGCGTTTGGAGGCCTCTTGGGGGCCTCTTGGGACGTCCTGGGCCATCTTGAGGCCATATTGGGCCGTTTTAGGTGCATCTGAGTATGAGTATGAACGTGTGAGTATGTATGTGTATAATATGTATGCGTGTGTATGCTGTATGTATGAGTATGAGTATGAACGTGTGAGTACGTATGGATTGCCATGTATGTGTATGTACGTATGAGTATTAATGTGTATATATGAGTATGTATGTGTATGTATGTATATGGATACTAATATTACCTAGAACTACCAGTACTACCTAGTACTACGACTTAGTACCACCTAGTACTACTATCTACTAGTACTCCCTACTGCTAGTGCTCCCTAATGGTACCTAGCAGTACTACTACCTAGTACTACCTAGTAGTACTACCTAGTAGTAATACTACCTAGTACTACTTCCTACCTGGTACTACCTAGTAGTGCCTAGTACTACCTAGTACCTAGTACTATGTCCTACCAAGTACTACTAACTAGTACTACCTAGTACTACTTACTAGTACCTAGTAGTACTACTAGGTAGTACTACTACCTAGTACTACCTCGCAGTACTACCTAGGAGTACTACTACTGCCTAGTACTACCTAGTACGATTACCTAGTACTACCTAGTAGCACTACTACAGCATGTAGTACTCCCTAGTACTACCTAGTACTACCTGGTACTACTACCTAGTACTACTACCAACTAGTACTACCACCTACTACCACCTACTGTGGTACTGGTAGGTAACAGGTAGTAGTATGTAGTAGGTAGAAGGTACAAGGTAGTAGGTCGTAGGTAGTACTTCCCTCCGTCCCTCCTTCCCTCCCTCCCCCCCTCCCTCCCTCTGTCACTCCTTCCTTCTTCCTGCACACTCGAGACTGTGAGGCACATGAGACTTAGCCACATCAGACGATCACATGAGACAGTGCCTCACGTCAGACTCACTCACATCAGACAGGCTTACACATGCTCACGCCCTACCAGACCAGCCAATACATCTACAAGAAACGCGACACCATAGACGGGCAACACGCACATAGCACACTCACACCAAGATCACATACCGTAACACAGCGCCACCATCACATGCCAGCACTGCCAGCACACTGCACATACACAGAACAGACAGACATCACTAATCAACAGGACGACACACAGAGCACACTCACATCTCAGGCCACATACCCACCAAGAGGGAGGTCACAGGGAGGCACGTTTTTCGAATCGGTCGAGTTCTAATTTTCCCCCGGGGGCGTTTTTTAATGGTTCACCCGGGACTGCGAAAAAAAGACGCAGAGATGTCCTAAAAATTACACAATTTAAAAAAGGGAATGCTGTCATGTTTTTTTTAATGGCTTCCGGTATCTATTTTAGATTGACGACGAACATTATCATGAACATTATAGCATTGCGTGGATATGTTTTTTCGCGATTTATATTTCAACAACAGTTTTGGCGATGATTCCAAATTATTGCTCAGTATATGAAACTCATATTATTGAACCCCGTCCGTTTCATTTTTCCAGATTATTGGCGAATGCATATATTACGGGAACGTGCTGCCGTGTTCAGAAGACGTAGCGTTTGCACGTTTTCGCTTGTGTATGCGATCGTTGTCGTCCTTGACAGTCCTGGTTGGTGAAGGTGTGCGCAATGGGAAATGTGTGAACATGTGAATAAGCGTCCAAAACAAAACATCAAACTTAATGTAATCTCCACACCGTAGCAAGCGAATTCGCCCGACCGGTTTTCGACATGTGGTTTGTTGTTTCGTTTTACATTAGATTTGGACGTATTCGAAAGATAGAGATCAACGCGTTTGTGTTTTGCAAAGCAATTGCTACACAAATTGTATCGCTATGGATTGTATAAAATTGTTTTTCGCTGATATCGGAATTATTGTTGCGCGAACTCCTTAAAGCAAAAAATGTTTGCGAACCGCGTGTCGATGTATGCTGCAGCTGTTGCGCTCCAGATTCGGCCGTGCTTTGTTTCTACAGCGAAATGCAATACGTTTATGTATCGGGCCATTCGCCGAGATCGCGTTCGATTGATGTTTATGTTTGTGTTAACCAAGAAAGCGCTGCTTGTCGAAAACCGGTCGGTCGCGCCTGCGTGAAAATCTCTGTGACGCCCCTACGAAAACGAGGCAGGGTGATCAGTGAAAAGGAGCAGGAGAGCGTGAAGAGCGAGAGTCAGGCTGTTTATTTTCAAACCCCCGCAGTGGTACTTTGTCGTGCGCCATGGCGTACGAATTTACTTACATTGACAGCGTGGCCGCGATGGGGCCCACGCCTAATATGCCTCCTTCCATCGCCTGGAAAAAACTGGGTCTGCGTCAACAAGATCGCACAGCTAACGGCGAGGATTCGGGGAGTGCTGAACCTATGGAGGCATTATGGTTTAAGTTGTCTTGTCGCACTAACAATAAGTTTTAGCAGGGTCCCTCCCCCAGTGCCTTTGCCCAGAGGACAAGATATGGATTCCACATAACTTCCAGTGCGCCTGGAAGGAATGGAACTTCCAGCGTAACGACGGCAATCAGGAGACATTATCAAGACCATTGTATCGATGTTTCCCGTTGCTCGATCTAGGTTTAGAACGGATCTGCGTTCGTGCCTCCGTGGATTGACTGAGGGGGCACGTTCGCGCTTCCTGGAACCAGGAGAACACGGCCAACTCGGCGCAAGAGTATAGCTGGCGTCTCCCTAGGGCACGTCATGCTGCACAAGCCTGCCGATGAAGCACTGGATTGGGTGGCAGTCCGCCATGTTCGCCATGTTCAAGCGACTGCCGCCCTCGTAATCTTCTGCCAGCGCACGCACCAGCCGTCCGTGCGGATCACGGTCGAGCACCCGCAGAATGTGATTCAGGATCTCGACCAGTACATTTGCCATTACTCCACCACGATCTTGTCCGTTAAGGCGCACATTCGGCGCGAGCTTGCTCTGCCAGATCATCGACCCATCGAGTTGAAGATCAACCAGCAGGTGGTGAGCAATTGTCTGCAGGCGGCTCCTCGCTTCAACCCGAGTCGCAAGCGCCGCCGCTGAGCCGCCGTGGATCTTCTCATAGGCCCTGGGCTTTTCGAGTCTGCATCGCGGTTTCGCTGCGCGCGCTGGTTAAAGCAGCTGGCCGATATAAGCTGGATAGGCCCCGAGGATCTCGTGTAATTTGAAGCAGCAGCTAAGGGCTTGCGCTTTACATTAGAAAAGAAAATGAATCGAATATCGCACGCGCGCTCACATGATCGAGAGCGCTTCGGGCCCGATGGTCGGGCAGAAGGCGCCCTGAGAGGGGCTGGGCGGGCGAGCGGAACAGGGGTGGGCTGAGTGGGGGGCCGCGCCAGAGGTACGTGGTGGACGGGTAGGGGGCGGAGGCCGATAGTCGCAGAACTAGCGTTTGCTGCAGTCCCGCGTAGTTCGTGCCGCATAGGTTTTGACAATCAGTTTGCATCACATAGATTGCATTACTTAAACTGCGCCATCCATGCATCGCATAGATTGCCGCGTGCACATATTGCACGCGTGGGTTGCGCCGCATCGGTTGTACCACATAGAGTCAACTCGCGATTTTGGAACAGACGTCGGCCCGCGCCGTTCGGCCCACTCTTCTAGCAAAGTTGACCAGCCCAAAGGATTGCGCGGAGTTGTTTGGCCCTCTCATTTACCCCAGTTCTCTCCAGAGCTATTGTCTACATCCCAAGCACCCCAACTGTTTACTGTTCAGCTAGCTGCTTCTCTGCTCTCGCAGCGCGCGGCCCCCATGGCGTCGGCCGCAGAGCCTCCTCCTCCTCCTGAGGGCGAGCGCACGCGCGCCGCCTCCGCGGCAGCGCCATCGCTTGGGCTGGCGCCCCCCGTGCCCTCTCAGTTCTCGCGGGATCTCATGGACAGCTTGGATGGCGCTCGGGTGCCCAACACGCAGGAGGCTGCACTGCTGGCAACTGCCGATGACGATATCCCGACTATAGGCGGTGGAGATGACGCGCGGGCGGCGGTAGAGAAGCGGAAGAAGATCCACGGCGCCGAGCAGTCGGACGCCATCTTCGCAGCTATTTTCAAGAAGGTCGATGCGAAGAAGAGCCGGCTCAGCCAGGTGCTCGCGACGCCCGTCGCCAAGAACACGGGGCTCGTCGCCGACACCGAGAAGTACGCGCAGATCGTAGAGAGGGAGCGCCCTGACTGGAGCTCGGATCTCAAGCGCATCGGCGTCGCGGCCCTCTGCATGTATCGGTCGCGCTCAGTGGACGTGGGAACCGTGCAGCACGTGCAAATGATTTGGATCATTCTTGGCGACCGCCTTCTCCGCGCCCACAATGGACGGGCTTACTTCTACGCTGAGCGCCTCGGTTACTTCGATGTTTTCGGCGGCCTGCTCCCGCCAGAGTTACTATTCGCGGCATCTCGCTTCATGCTGACTCTGGAAGGGATATTCAGAAGAGAGGTCCCAAGCGGCGTGGAGCGAATGGATTCCGCCGTGATCACGGCCATTGACAGCACTGTTGAGAATGCGGTGGCGAAGATCAGCGGAGACATACCTTACGCAGCCAAGGAGGCGGCCGCGCTCGTCTCGTTCCGCGACAACTGCGTACTGCGTGTTCAACAAGGGCAATGCGATCTTGCAGAAAGCCAAAACCAAGGGCAAGGGGATTCCGGCGCAGGCGCTCGATGGCGAGGGCGAAGGCGAGGGGCGGGGGCGCGGTGCCGAGGACGCCGAAGGCGACGACCTCAGCAGGGCCTCCGACGCGTGGCATATCGCAGTCGCCCACAATCAGTAAGCTATCGACCAAATTACAGACAGAACTTCTCAGCAGTAAAATCATGTCGTATATTATTGAATGGTGCTCTCAGGACACCATGCGATCTGCTGGCGTCGCCGACGAAGACTGCATCGTGAAGTACGATGTGCTGGGTAATCCTGTGACATTTTCTTCTGGGCGATCACCTGAGAACTCGGTTTACATTGGCATCCGCTCGCAGCCCCTTTCCACCGACCCCGTGCTCGACGCGGCGGTGGCCCGCGTGCAGAAGATATATTCACAGACGTTCTGGCCCATTCCAGATGCTTTCGTGTTCGGGCAGGCGGCCCAGGCGCTCGCGAAGAGAGGCTACAGCGTTGACACTATCACAATGCATTGGGGACCTGGCGGCGTTGGTCTGAGTTTGCTTACGAGCCATTTGGAGGCGATGTACGGCCACAAGAATCACAAATACTTCGATCCCAATATAATTTTCGTCGATGACGAGTTACGCAAGGTGGTCGAGCTGCTGGTCGACGGCTTTATCTTCACAAGTCAAGAACGACGCAGCGGACAACGTGGAACCATGCGGGAGGATTGCGGCTCTGGCGTCAAACGCGCCGCGGCTGATATATAGGTTACTCATGCCCCGACAGCCGAAGAGCGCGCCGCCGGCGTCGCGCTCTTCAGTGTCGGGGCGCGAAGAGCCGCCGCCGCGTCGCTTTGGCGCCGAGCCGCCAGGACTCACTTAAGAAATTTGCCACAGCGGAGGGTGTTTCTGGAAGACTTCCGCATCCAATATTGACCAAGATGTTTCGCATTGTGGGTTGCACGAGACTCGAGGTCAACAAGTTCCTGGTGTTCGACGATATCACTGAGCAGAACGTGGAGTCGTTGATGCGCAGGCTTGCCGCGGTGAAGATACAAGCGCGGCTTTTCGATCGCGTGCATGTTGAGAAGAACTTCGGCGACGCCGCGGCCGCCGGGATCTTCGCCCGCGACCCAGATGCGAAGGAGTTTCTTATGTCCTCCGTCGGCGTCGCCGCTGGGCATCGAGTGCAATTCGCATTCGAGGACGATAACGGCGCGGAGGCGCGTCGCGACATTATCGTTCGGCATGCCCGCTGCGGCGGCGATCGAGGAATTACGGAGAAGTCGCCGCGGCAGGCTTGCGGCCTCCTCGAGAGGACGTCGAACGCGGCTGGGCCCCTGCAGGCGGAGATCGACGCGCCCAACTCGCAGGGGCACGGGTGCAAAGTCCCCAAAGAGTGGTTGGATTTCAGCATGGCACTCGTTCAAGAATGTCAAAACAAAATGGACTTCCTTACGCTTCCAGCTTTCAAGGCGATGCCGCTGCCGACCAGTTGCAAGCTTCCTGCCCCTAAGCCGAAGGCCTTTCAGCGCCTGCAGACAGAGGGCCTATGGGTGGGCATCGGAACAGTGGGCAAGGCGGCCGATCGCATCGCGCCGCGCATACGCACCAAGAACGGCATGAGCGCGCTGATCGACGAGAGCTAGACGGGCGCGTGCAACGACCCAGAGGTTTACGACATGAAGCCCTTTCGGTCAGTATTCTTTGAGCACGGAGCTCGCAAAACTAACGCTATGGTTCTGGCGGATGCACTGGGCATGGGCATTCGGCGCCCCGGCCGACAGGCTGCCGAGAAGGCTGCGCGCGAGGCGGCGCGGTCGGAGAGGGCTGAATCAGTTCGACGCATGGAGTCTTTCATCGATACTTTGGCGAGCAGGGACAAGCGCGTTCAGGAAATCAAGAGGAGGCGCGTTTCGGCCAAGGCAAGCGGCCCGAGCTCGCAAGGGGGTCGGCTCATTTCGACGACGAGGTTCCCATTACGGTTTCCACGGGGTACCATCACAAGGTGGAGTGGCCGCCGCGACCTTAAATGTTGCTCTTGGCTCGGTCGTAGATGCTGCATTTTGGACGGGCGATGAACCGATCAGCATCGGGATCTCGATCTGCGGTCCATAGTGGATCTCGAGTCGCCTGAGTGATCGTGGGGAAATATGAAGAGGGGGGGGAGGCGGGCCCAATCAGCAAAATTGGTGCGCGCTCGGTGGATGCGGGTTCGCCTGAGGTCTCGCCTCTTCGTCGACGACTCTGCGGGCGCGCAGTCCATAGACCAGCGCTTGCATAAGGTTTTGCTCACCAACACGTTCGATTTGGACATGGAGAACTTCTCGTTCTGCATCCTTCCGCAGATGTTGAAGCGGCTGAGCCTCCTGGACGAGAAGGCTTTCGTAGAAGAGTTTGCAAATGCTCGATCGTCTGCAAAAGAATCGGCGCGAAGTTTGCGAGCAGGAACTCGGCGTGGGATCGTCTGTCGGCAAAAGGGTTCTCTTGGAGGTCGCGTGCGGGGCATCCGCGCCCGCTGCTTTCAAGGGGAATGAGTTCCCTGCTGCCCTGTCCAGGGCGTCCAGGATGCCGAGGCGGCTGGCGGTTTCGCTGCTGCCTGACGTGCACCGCGCGGCGCAACAGCACGAGGGGAAATGGGCGGAGGCTTCTCCATTTAGTTATCCATGGCAGGGCGTACAGAACAACATACTGCAGCACGTCGTCAATTTCATTTGCGAGGAGCGCGTGAATCACCTGTCCTTGCATTTCGACGGCGCGCGCGTGGACGTGGACCGCGTCGCCGCGACGGGGAGCTCGGAAGATTTCTGCAAGGGCTGCTCTGAGCGAGTTCACGCCACCACCGGCTACGCCGTCACGTTGCGCAACAAGGAGCATTCCTATTTCTTTGACCTCCTGCCCGCGAAGAGCGCGGCAGTCGTTGATGAGGGCGGCCCGCGCAGCAACGAAGACAACAAGCATCTGCTTCTACGCGGCAACTGCATACCCTGCGCGTTCGCTGCAGTGACTGGACAGTGGCAGAGCGTGCGACAGGTCGAGGATTTCAGGAAGTGCCGCGACGTGGCAGAGCTGCTGGGCACGCGATTCTTTCCGCGGGCGAGCCTCCTGGACTGCCGGGAAGGGGGCTACCTTCTTCACGCGGAGAACGGCGGGCTTCCGCATTGCGTCGGCGCGGCGATCCAGGGCGGGAGCGTCGTGGTGGTCTGCGAGAAGGGCGCTGCTCGTAAGATGAGTGTTTTTGATTTCGAGGAATGCTACGCCAGCGCGCTCGACATGAAGATGCCGAGGAGAGCGCGCGGCTGGACGGGCTGCTGGATCTCCTGGCTGCTGGCCGATGGGACGATGACGGGCCGACTCCGCCGTCGAGGAAGGGACGTCGCCTCGTCTCCAAAGCGGCAAGAGCAGCGCGCGGCAGCCCTGTGTCATCGTCTTCGCCGCCCCCGACACCTTCAGCGCGCTCCGCGACCCGTTCGAACATCAACTCCAGGCGCCACAATGAGAACCTCAATTTCTTCGAACTGCTGCGCGCGAAGGGCTTGGCGGTAGACGATTACGACAGCGGCGCGCCGAGCAGCGCGGGCGACCAGCTGTTTCGGCGCGGCAACTGCATACCCTGCGCGTCCGCGGCAGTGACTGGACAGTGGCAGAGCGTGCGAGAGAAGATTGTGGAGCAGCAGGTCGAGGATTTCAGGAAGTACCGCGACGTGGCAGAGCTGCTGGGCACGCGATTTTTCCCGCGGACCAGTCTCCAGGATTGCAAGGAAGGGTGCTACCTTCTTCACGCGGAGAACGGCGGGCTTCCGCACTGCGTCGGCGCGGTGATCCAATGCGGGGAGGCCGCGATCTGCGAGAAAGGCAAGGCGCAGAAGATGAGCGTGTCCGTTTTCGCGGAGTGCTACGCCAGAGCGCTCGACATCAAGACGGTCGCGGCTTCCCGCCTGGACGATGGCATCGACGATGACGAGAGCGCGCAGTTGGACAGGCTGCTGGAACTACTGGCCGCTGGAGACGACGAGGGCAGCGAAGCCAGTTGCGACGAGGAGAGTTGCGACGAAGGCACTGTAGACGTACGCTCCGAGCTACTGCGGGCGCTGAAGGCGGAGATGGACGCCGCGAAAGCGGCCGTGGGTCGCGGCCGCCAGTCGCGTTGCATTCTCTGCCCCTTCAAAGAGTTCGACATGAGCAGCCCCAAGGCGAAACGGAACTTGCTGACGCACCTATCGAATTATCATAACCCGGAGAAGAAGAGCCAACGAACTGGTGCGAGGCAGATGGGCTGCGGTAACTACGTGGCGTCTGGCGCGAAGCAGATGAAGACGGTCTTCGCGATGTTCGATCCCGACCGATGCCGTGGGAAAAGCCAGGGGCGGTATCTCGAACGCAGTGCCCAGATGTTGCAACAGGGTGTGAAGCCTGCGCCGACCTGCCTCAAGATTGACCGCGACACCCGTCTCCTCTTGGACGACGCTGGCCCGACGTTCATCAACGCAGCCGCTGTCCGGCCCTGGCCGTCCGAGGGCCCGACGACGCTGGCGAGGCGTGTCGGGGGCACGTACTACAGCCACGCATTCGCAGAGATTCTCTTCAAGGAGTTCATGCTGAACTACGGGCACGTTCGGCCCACTCGCGCGCGCATCGTGGTGAGATGCGCGGAGGCAGGGTCGCAGCTGACGCACTTGCTTCCGCAGAAGGTTCCCCAATGGCTGGAGCTGTTGGAAGATCTCCTCATCGCGCCATTTGTTCGCGCTGCGCGCGATCTGCACATGCAGCAGTTGCTCGATCACGACGAGTTCGTGCACATGTCGGTTGACGCCACCATCAGGGCGGCCATGCGCATCGAAGTGCAGGCGAATGATCGAGACTCTGCGGAGAAGAGAGCCGCTGCGCCATTCGACGACACGGTTGCCAAGAGGCGGATCCTCACAGTGCGCGGCCGCACGGCGGCCGTCGCAGGCAGGTGGCCGATCGCGTCTGAGGCCGCGCGGAACATCAAGGAGATGCTCCAGATGCGTCCTCCACAGGCAGCTCTCGATCAGTGTCGCTCGATTGCGACGGGCGAGCCCTCTGGTGAGTTATACGGACAGCTGTGAGAGATCTACAAGAATATGACCTGGCTCTGCCTGGATCCGGCACATCTAACCATCGTTTACAACTCGGCTCACTGGAAAAAGCACACGCCAAGGCAGGCAGCGCTGAAAACGGTTCTGAACAAGTTCAACAAGATTGATTATCAGGCTGCCTCGGGCGCGCGGGGCCCAGCGCATACTGGTGGACAACTGCAACCTCTGACACCAGACCAGAACAGGAGTCGGGACGCAGTGAAGAGCGGCAACATGCCCAGTCGAGAGGCGCAGCGCTTCCTGGACAACCTGGACGGGGAAGAGCCTTTCAAGAACGCCGATGAGTTCGTTAGAGCCATGGCGGCTATTACGTCAGTGCTTTGGGATGAGGCCACTTGCGCAGATGCTTCCCCCCCCCCGATTGCTTTCATTCGTTCGCCCGTCGCCGTCGGTCGCCTGATCGAGATCTGCACATCGATGATCTTGTTTCCTCAGGTGAACCGCGGCACAACGAGCGGGCGGCTCTTGGTATATGTATTCTGGTCGGCTACGTCGGTGGAGCGTACGCAGTTCTTGTTCAACAACACACGGATGCGCCACTCCTTACCCAAGAAGTATCAATCGCTGATTGGTTCTGGCGCGTCGCCGAACGAGGCGATGCACGCCGAGGTCAACAGGTGGTTCCGCAACTAGCCTGAGCTCTACCTTGAGACGCTGGAACTGCAGCTGGCGGCGGCCAGCCACGCCAAGCTGATCGCGCACAACGCTGCCATGCACGCGCCAGCTCTGACAGCGCTCACCTCGCAGACAGTGCTCGCGACCGCGATGGGCCGCCAGCTCGCACCCCCTGACGAATGGCAGCGCTTCTGCGCGGCGCAGGCATCGGGCGTCGGCGCGCCTTCGAAGGCGCGCCTGCCCAAGAGCGCCCAGCGGAAGGCTTCTCAGCCTTTGGCCAAGCAGCGGGCAAAGGATCGCAAGAACTTTAAGCCTATCGCTCGGAAGAGGCCGGCGGCAATCAAGGTTGCGCAGAAGAGGCCAGCGGCAATGAAGGGGGTCAAGCGCACCGCCTTCAACAGAAAGCGGATCATCCGTTAGATTACGTTCCGCGCACAGCTTTGATGCATGATCCAGATGGCACCCTTACAAGTAGTCCAATTGCGGATATCCAAGAAGTAGCAACAGGCCCAGCTGTGCAATGCGGTTGCGAGGGTGGTCCATTGCCAGGCCGCCACCGCCACCCGCGAACCTCGCGCGTCGGACGCCCGCGAGTCTGGCAAGTGCTGCGTGGGCCAGATCCTCTACGACTACGGCGGGCGAGTGCAGCAGTTGGCGGCGCTGGGCAACTGTCGGGATCGAGCTTCGCGAGACCCTGCCCCGCTGCTGGCGGCGGAGGATGCCGACCTGTCGGGCACGCGGGCCAGCCGCTGTCGCGCGTGCTGGTGCCGCGCCACGCGCTCCGAGAAGCGCTGCCCCGGCTCGGCTGCTCCCGCCTCGGAGGCGTCGTCGCCAGCGGCACGCGCTGCTGCGACGCCGCCGCCGCCCTGGACCAGGCCCAGGGCCCGCCGATGCCGCCCCCGCTTGAGCCACCCCGGTCTCAGCGCGCGCGCGGCCAGCGACCTGGGGCCGGAGCCCGCCCCCAGGGCGCCGCGGCCTGGGGCCCGCGGCCGCCGAGCTGAGCGACGCCCTCCCCCTCGCAGCGGAGCAAGGCATCAATTGCATGGCGCTGGTCGCGAATATGGGCGACGAGACGATCTATTGCGCGTTCGGCGCCGCGCCCGTCGCCGCCCTTTTGCGCGCGGGCTGGGGCTGCCGGCGGATCGCGGCCCTCGTCTGGGTCGCGGTGGCCCCGCGTGAGGGGGGCCCGCTCGCCGGCGGCCGCCTCGCCGCGGAGGCCCGCGCCGCGGGCGCCCCGCTGCTCGTCGCGCCCGCCAATGCCGATCATGTCCCGTAGATGGCCGCAGCGTGGCCCTAGCCGGGATCAACCTCCGCCAGATGCATCGGCGGCTGGGGCTGCTGGGGCACGCCTTGGCGAGCGTCGCGGCCGGGGCGCCGGCCTACGACGGGGCCGTCGAGCGTGGCGGCTGCGATGACCTACTCGACGAGGTAGCACCATTGGGGCCATCCGCAGACGGGGCGCTGGGTGGAACGCAGCGGAGCAGCGGCATCGGCCCTGGGGTCGGGTCGCCTCGCGGAGCGGCGCGAGCTGCCGAGCAGTGGCGACCTGATCGACCTGCTCCGAGATCGCCAGCTGGGGCCCGGGCCGAGACGCCCTGCGAGCTCTCGTCGCAGACGAGGCCCGCCGCCGGCTGCCGGGGCCCGCCGCTCCCGCCAAGGAGTTCCTGGAGGAGCGGCGCTTGCAGAGCGCGGACGTCGACCCGGCGGAGCAGCTCCAGTACATGTGCGGCTTCGACGACTGGGGGCGGCGGCCGGCGCGATCGCGGACGCGTTGCTGCAACTACATGGCAGGCCCGGAGGGCCCCGCGCCCCTCCCCCGCGCCGAGGTCAAGGCGCCGCGCGTCATCGAGCGCTCCCCTGGGAGCGGGAGGCCCTCGCCCCCCTGGCCGCGCTCGCCGATAGCACGGCCTCCTGGCGGCCCAGGGCGCCCGGCCCGAGCGCCCTCATGCTGGGTGCGCGGGCGCCTTCGCCGACGAGGGGGCCGCGCCAGCGCTCCCCGGGAGAGCCGCGTCCATCGAGAGGGTCACGTTCGAAGGGTGGGCCACCCGGCCGCGATGCAGACGAGCTGCCGTCGCTCGGAGGGGGCGAGGGCGAGGGCCCCAAGCCGCTGGGGCCCGGTGGCCAGGCGGTCTCGGCGCAGCCGGGCCATTGCCGCATCGAGGCCCCCGCCCGCGCGCCGGCGAGCCGGGCGCTAGCGCCCGCCCTGCTCTTCAGCGGCCGCCCGATTGGTTCCAGCGCGCCGCTGCTGCAGGCCGCCGCTCGCCAGTTCGGCTTGGCACGGCTGGGGCCTGGGAGGCTGACATCGGCGGCCGTCGGCGCGGCCGCCGCCCCCAGCCTGGGCGCCCGCGCGCGGGGGTCCACCGGCGCGGCCAGCTGCCGCTTCGACGGTGCCCTGCGGCCAGCAGACTGCTGGAGTGGCGCCGTCGGAGGCGCCCCCGACCAGGACAGGCCCCGCTTCGACTTGCGCGCCGATGGGGCGGCCCCGCGCGGGCTCAGCACCGACTTGTGCGCCGATGGGGCGGCCCCGCGCGGGCTCGGCAACGCGGGGTCGCTGCTCGCTGACATCGCTTTCGTGATGTCCATGCAGAGTAAACAGGGGGTCGACGGGGGCCATGTCGAGCGAGGCAGCGAGGCCCGCTGAACAGCATCGCGCAGGAGGGCGAGTTCAAGGTGCTAGCCGCCCGTGGCTGCCACGAGTTATGCAACTGCGTCTGAGGCGCTCGCCGAGGCGTTCATCAAGACGGCCGACTGCTCCAGCGCGCTGCTGCTGCGCCACCTGTTGCCGACCCTGCGCAACCACCGCGAGGCCTGCGACATCGGCGCCAGCTGCTGGGGCGGGCGCGCCTTGCAGTGCGCCCCTCTGCGCTGCCTCGCGCCGCGGGCTGGCCGACCGTCTCGGAGGGGTGCTTCAGGGACTTCGCCCCGCCGTCAGAGTGCTAGCTGGGGGCGCGTCCGCAGGCGCCTGCCCGGTGCCTTGACTGGCAGCGGTAAGTCCGCGCCAGTGCGCGGGTCTTCGCCCGCGTCCACGGGGAAGGGCGCCAGGGGCCCTCGGCGAAGGCGCTGGAGGACTTGCGCACCTTATGCGAGGACAGCCCCAGGAAGTGCGCCCTCTATTCCTGCTTAAATGTTTTGGGGACTTCTACTGGCGGTGGCGTGGAGAGGCCACCTTGGGCGCGCGCGAGGTATTCAGCGAAGGGGCCGGGGTCGTGCTGTCCCGCGGCTCTCCACGACGTTCGACCATCGACCAGCGGGGCCCGCGGGGTTACCTCAGTGCGATCGTCGAGCGCCGCCTGGGAAAGAAAGCGCGCCGCTCTTCCTATGGCCAGGCCCACGAGGTGGAGCCGCGCTTGCCGAAGGCGGGGGGGCAGGGGGCTCTGTGGCCCGCGCCGGGGGCAGGGTCGCAGGGAAGGGCAAGAGCGCCCGACCGTCGTCGGCGGTGCCCGAGTGCGCTCGGCTGCCCCTCTGCGGAGGAAAACCTGTAACCCGATGGCCGCCCGCTCTCCCCGGATGAGCGGAAGCGCGCGAGCGCCCGCGCGCCCGCCGACGCCAAGTGCCGCCCGAAGTGTTGGGGCGCGGCGCGTTGGATCGGTTGCCGCAACAGGGCCAGCGACCGCCCGCGCGGCCGCGCCGAGGGCTTCAAGAACGTGGAGAAGCTGGAATGGACCGCGCAGGCCCCCCTGATCCGCCGCGGCGGGGTCCGCGCCAGGCCGCCGATCGAGCCGATGGGGCGTCGACGGCTCTATCGAGCAGCCCGCCCTCCCAGGGGGCGTTGCAGTTTTCTCCCACATCCTAAAGGGGGCTCTTGTTTTGTCTGGACACCCCGCGCAGCCCTCCCACTCCCTCTCCACTTCGCACCCACTCCTCCCATCGTCATTATCATCATCATCTATATCGTCGCCATCATCACTCTTTCATCATCGTCACTGCGGACCATCGGAACCTTGTTACTGTCGACATTATTTGGCTCCCGAGGCATGAATATGGAGGAAGTGAATGAATTGCGAGGAAGTCTCAGGTGGGAGCCCCCTCCCTATGGAGCCCGCAGCACATGTTTGCAATCCGAGGCAGGCCATCGTTGTCGTCATTGTCATCATTTTGTGCCCTTGAGGCTTTTGGTGCCCTTGAGGCTTGATTATGGGGGAAGTGTCAGGCGAGGCCTCGTGTGAGTGGAAGTCTCTGTGAGGGCCCTCCGACGCGCGAGGATCGCGGGTGGCGGTGGCGGCCAGCGCCGGCGCGGGCAGCAGCGCCAGTTGCAGCAACGCGCGCCCTGGCGCCCAGCGAGACCACATCTGCGGCCAAGCACCTGCAGCCGCACACTCCCAGCAGCCGCCCTGCGGCCCCCAGGAAGCGATAGG